CGTTCCGTACAACGTCTCCTATCACAAATTAAACTAGCTATGGTTTGGAGATAAGTTAATTTGTTAGCTTTTTCGACTTGCTGACTACGAAAATGACGGGTTCATACGGTCGAAAATGTTTTCTCCCTTGAACGGATTCGAATCGTCAGTGTCATGCACGGTAGTCAAATGCTCTGCAGTCCTATGTACCAGTGGACCGGCGACTCGTAACGCAAGCCCACTTTGGCCTGAACTTCCCGTTGGCGACTGTGCAATTTCGAATTTCTAGAGCCGGCGCTCCGGTAGCTCAGTTTACGCAGCGTTTGACTGACACTCTAGAGATCGGCCTTCGGTTCCGTCCCAGGACGAAAGTTTTGTCTGTATAAATTGGTTTTTTTCTGATCTTTTACGTAGGAAGTGGCCTGCCATCTGTCTTTCCCTACTTTCCATTTTCGAACGCTGAGGACCCACAAATTGTCTGAATTATTCACTGTGCAACCGAGTTGGTAATCTTGCATTTCCTACCATCTTCCGGAGCCAAAGCACCTGTTAGCGGCCGGAATTGCGTCTGCCATGTAATCTCAGCTGTGCCGACTATACAGGCCTGATTTATTTAACTGTCGATCACGTCAGCGTTTGGTTAGGTCAGGTTTGCGAATAGTTGTGGGAACTTAACAACTCCGATCGTTAATTCCTCCCGGAAGTCCTGTTCATGTTCTGTGAGCTTTCATTCGTGCCTTTGTGGTGACTAGCTTTTGTTCATGCAAGGCCTTTGGGGACGATTGGGGCAGTTGTGGAATTCGAGTCTTCACGATCCCGACCCATTTGGACCAAGTAAGGTCGCAGTACATGATAGACCGGGGGGAGCGGTCGGCATCGCCTAATTAATTATGCCTTTGATAACCACTTCCCTGGGAACACCGTTTGGCTGTTGTACTACCTCGCCCGAGAATCTTCCGCTTGTCGGAATCGACGGCGTCCTTTTGCCGTCAGCCCCACTATCACCGCCGGCATTTGGGTCAGCGCACTTCCCTGCCAGTTTGTCTTCGCACTGCCGCACTTGCAGTCGTTGATCTCCCCGGCCTAGTTGCAGTTCCAATTTCTGTGGTTGATTCTGTCCCGGCGTCGCCTTAGCCTCTGCGCTTGCCGTTCTTCAGGGACACTGAGGTCGTAGAGTCTTTCTCCTCGAGAGCTGCCCCTTTGCATTCTATGAATTCCCCGATCTGTTTACTTTATTTGAGCTGATGACAACTTTTCTTTCTGTTCGGTTATATTTACTCTCATTATATCTCATCTTCATCACTCTCAAGCCGATCGCAACCTACTCGGTCCAGCCAATGAACTTACGGTGCGCCTGGAGTCCTCTTTCGTGTCTCGCATGATCACCGCATGCGAGTGCTTTTCTGAATACGTAGGTGTTATACCGGACAGTCCACAGCCTTACGTTTCATTAACCAAGTCTCGCAACCCCAGAAGATCTACTGTTCTGAAACGGAAGGCGGAGAACACTGGCGCCCCAGACTTACATCTCTAGCTCGCCGGTGCTGTGGAATCCTTTCTGCCCCTGTCTTTTCATCCCCATCCCAAAACTTTGTATCTATTACCCATGTTGATGATGAATTATGCTGCATTTATATGTGAAATTTATTTTTGTACTTGAAACATCCGTGTCTCCTTGACAGCAAAGAGAACCTTTACGTTTATCAAACATTAACGGTTCTTATTAATCTCGTCCAGGCGCGACGCGGCCGAAGACCATCACTACCAATATTTATGTCGTCAATATTACTACTATCACTAGCAGAAGTCCGTAGTCTTAGTCGGATATGACCATCTTTCTCTACTTGTATGTGGAACTTAGATTGACTGCCTTGCTCATTGGTGTTACTATTTATAGGAGTGTGTCCAACTAATCTACTAGTCATAAATGCATGCTGGCAGTTGAGGCTGGCCAGAGTGGGTGTTTTTTTGTCAGTAACCATCACCGCGAATGGATGAGGATGGGGTTCAGCAGGTTGGGCAGGTCCAGGAGTGGAGTCGTGACATAGGGAAAGAGAATTAAAGAGTAGATGTATTTAAAGTAAGTTACTTCGGGTTTTGTAACATGCATTGGAGCATGTGTGTATCGTACCCTGCAGCAGCGAAGCCACATAGAACGCAGAGATTGGTGGATCGTCGTGACCTGCTCGCTGCTGTTCGGAGTTTTGGCAGATTATATTGGTGTCGTGAGTAGAGACCGGATGGGCTCCCGAAGTAGTTTTGGGCATGCATGTCTGGCCAGAGTCAACGGGGCCTGGACAGTGCTGCGAGCGATTAGTCAAACAAACCAGTCCTCGCCTGCGTGCGTGACCATGTTCCGGTTGCTACCGTTGTCTCAGTGGGTGTGAAAGTGTCTAACAGGGCCAATACAGGCACTGAAGTTGTTCTGGTGGTAGTTTCGCTCAGAAAAGGGTTGGCTATAGGCCGCGTTGTTTGTGGGTGTCCCAGTTTCCTTTGTTGCTGCGTTTCATTTAAGGAAGCTTTTGAAGTATCCTTGCATTGTCACTGTTCTTCCGGTCTGTGGGTGAGTGTAATAGGATCGCGTTTATAGCTGTCGTGTCAGAAGGCACCAATCTGACGTACTGATAACGTGGCTGCTCCATTGGGCTTGCGTTTTCTTTAACGTGGTCAAGACTTTTAATACGCGGGTCGATTTTGGGACCTGTTCGTTCCTTATTGGTTCCGCCACTTGACGTTCAGGTTCCTCTGAAGACAGACGAGTTCAAACTGACTTACTTTCCGGATTGCTGCACATGGGCACGTTATCATTAAAGTCCTGCATATCTTCAGCTTGGTGATTAGGATACTGTGGAGCGGTCCCAGAACCTTAGCCACTTTCGAAGATTCTAACCGCGGTGTCATTTTCGACTGTAATGTTCCTTGTCGTGGCAAAAGTTTGTGTTTGGTTGCGAGGCGACTACCACTGCTTAGTTCTTTTCTGTACCTGGTGCTGGTGGATGCATGATGGTTTATGCTTATTTCGGTTGTCAACTTTAGTCCGTCGAAGGCGTGGAAGATCCAAGCTCGATATCGTCGACTATGCGGGCAGTACGGAAGAGAGGGTTGTAAATTCCTTTGATAAAGACCTGGAAGTATGCGTCTGGATGCTGATGGTCGTTCCATCGTTTTAGTAATTTATTTTGATACTAATGCATTGTTTTCTGTAAGTTTCCATTAGCACTTGTGTAAACGAAGGTTAGGAGTGTTGAGACGAGTGTACGACTTGCTTTCACCCTTTTGTTATGACAAAAACCTCGGGGGCGAATCTTTCGTTGAAACCACTGACCTGGGCTTCACCATGTAAAATGCCTTCTCTGAACGCCAATAACACCTATTTATTCTCTGATTTCCAGTGCGCCGGAGGCCTTCATCAGAACGACAACCAAAGCGAAACGGCCAGCACGGGTTTCTCGACAATTTTCTTGTAATTGACTGGGGAGTCGGGCCGTGTCAGCGGTTCCACTGTACTTTGAGAAGTTCGCTCTGCAGTAGCAGTCCTTTGCGCTACTAATTCTATCAATACTGTTGCTTTCATTCCACAGACGACCTAAAGTAAGGTTGTAGAATAACGCTAGCGGCTTACAGGACTTGATTATTTACGCGTTGATAAGCCCACTGTCGAAGGGTATTCAGAAAGTCGATTATCCCGTCCGGGGTGAGAAAAACAATCACGTGGAAGAAACCACGAAAATGTTGCCAATGGGAGATACTCCGCATGAAAGAGAATACTTTGGCCGGGATATCTCTGACCTAGTCCAGGCGGCATCAAAGTAAACAGAGCAAGGAATTCTGCACGAATATACACAAATTCTCCCCCCGGGCAATGAACTGAGTGGTGATTTCATCAAGTTTTGGGTGCTTACTTAAGCTGCTGAGTCGTTTGAATGGGCAATCTTCGTTCTGCCGGCTAGTGTGGTGATTGCTTGCGTTTAACCAGTTAAATAAGGCGGCCGTTTGGAAACATTTCCGCATTAAAATATTTTTTTTCTAAATTCTCTTTGTTTTCCCCTTAAAAAGCCTGACAGTCACTGTTGGAATAAAAGAAAGCAGTGCCGTACGCACCCTTTCATGATGAGTAGTAGGCACCCTGGAGAGGGGAATTTGAAAAAGCATAAATTTAGCCATGTGGATTCCGAATGAGCACGAGGTTTGCAAGCCTGCCATCTTCAAAATGCCAATCTTACTACGACAAAACTGGGAGCAACTTCCTACTTCCGAAATCCATAGCAGCTCATTCATTCGAGAGAATGTAACGTACAGGAGGTCAAATTTGGATGTATATAAGTAGGGACGGAGGGTTTTCATCATCCTCTCGAAGGTGTATGCTGATTTTCTTAAGCCCACCCATTCTAACAGCATTTCTAATGGGGTGCTTGGGATATTTGGAAGATCTGTGCAGCTTTCAAGGAGGCCTCCACAACTAGACCTAGTGAGAACTACAGCAGTTCAGGCCCAATCTCGTTGGCCCCAGGTGATTTTCATTTTCCTTGTCGGAAGACGCGTAACGAATATGTTCAGCATTTTTGTCTTGTTACATTAATTAATGTGCACTCGCTGCTGTTGTCATATCACTCATCTGGCGGCTGCTACATAATTAGGCGCATATAAGTAGAAACTTTTTCATAAGTTATTCCTAATGATAGAATTCGTGGAGACTGCGACAAAGCCCCAAATCACAGAGAATTGAGACGTGCTTTAAAGTGGATCTATCTAGCCTCCTTCCCCCAGAATTGTTCCTTTTGTGTGCACTTGACGTCTGGTCGAATGATGTCCTTGCCTCCCTCGCGCGCAATGCTGTTCAGTTAAGTTAATTAGGCCCACAGGCAGACACTCAAACTCGTGCTATTCTCCCTGCTTACTTTGTCACTCGGCCAAAGGTCGACAGTGTGCACAATTTAGGGGGGCTACGACGCAGGAGGCATGCCATCCTTCGACTAATCGACAACTCTTCATAATGTAGCTTACACACGTGCACTTGAGACATGGCCTCGGATACTGGGCCGAGTACACAAACAATCGAGGAACCCGTACTCACTTGGGATCAGTTCTTACAGTCCGAGAAGAAGCGCACAGAAAATTTCAGAGTCTCCAAAAGGCACCCAAAGGCGAAACCTGCAGACCAGTATCAGAAGGCCGAAGAGGCGACGGCTGTGGAAGTGGCAAAGAAGGAGATCCCGCAGACAACTCACGCGAGGAGTTCAGATTTCTCCTTCTATCAGGTTCTCGGCAAGGGCGGTTTCGGAGAGGTGCGTTTGCTACGACACAAGGCAACGCTAACATGGCATGCAGCGAAGATACTTCTGAAGTCGGAGGTGATTAGCAAAGGGCACGTGAGTCATGTCAACAATGAGAGAGCAATTCTGGCACTCTGTGACATGCCCCTGATAGTTAAGTTGAACCATGCCTTCCAGGATGCAACCCGTCTTTATTTGGTAATGGAATTTGTGCCCGGTGGTGACCTCTTTATGTTGCTTCGCAGTATGAGAAAATTCGATGAAGAAGTAGCCAGATTTTTTGGTTCACAGGTATTCCTGGCCTTGGAGTATCTGCACACACTGAGAATAATTCATCGTGACGTGAAGCCCGAGAACATCCTCATTTCTGGCAATGGATACCTCAAGCTGGCGGATTTTGGATTCGCGAAAATTGTTGAGAAACGGACCTATACTTTCTGTGGAACCCCGGAGTACCTGGCCCCGGAAATAATTCTTCACCGTGGTTACGGTCCTTCTGTTGACTGGTGGGCCTTCGGGATCCTCTTGTTTGAAATGGTCGTGGGAAGATCACCATTTTTTAGCGCAGATGTTGGGAACATTTATGCCAAGATAGTCAGTGCCAACCTGCACTTCCCCAGTTCCGCAAAAGTTAGCGAACAACTCAAACATCTGGTTAGCAATCTTTTGCAAAAAGAGGTCTCCAGACGGTACGGTTCCCTTCGAGAGGGTTCATTCGAGATCAGAAGGCATGCATGGTTCGCAGATGTGAGTTGGTCAGATCTTTTTCATCAAAAGGTTCCCCCTCCCTGTGATTATTGCGTTCCACCGTCTAATCCAGAAGCCAAGGTCTCAGAACAGCACATTCTTTTCTTTGCCAATTTCAGTACCTAGCCGTCTTTTTTTCCTTGCGACCGATCCAGCTTACTTCAGTGTAGGCAGTCGAGCCATGAAAACAGAAGTAACATGTGATATCTCTTAATTTTGGTAAGCACCGTTATCTGACGTGACTAATTTCTTAATTTTCATTCGCCTCTCTTTACTTGGTATGTTCTCCTGGCGTCTTTTAATATGAAACATTTGAAGAAACAGAGGCCTTTTCTTGATGGTATGTAGTGATCTGCGACAGAACGAGACTAAATGACTTCGTTTAGATGCTGATCTTTTGTCAGAGTATCAAAGAACATTGTCACAATCTAAAAGTCTTGGGAAAGTTGTCGCCGTGGTCTCAATCTTGTAGGTTCGAATCCTGACCAGACCGAACGTCTTGGTCCAAAACCCCCGGACATTAGACGTTGTTTTGCGTCATGTGCATGAAACGGCAAGGTGGTATTGGTCTCAGTCATGTCCTATACTCCTATTACCCACACTGGTCTGCCGAAACGCGAGTTGATTGACAGAGATTGACTGTTCAGGTGTATCACGCATTAGGTAGGGTTTTTCTGCTCGACACTAACTGACGCTAGTACGGACCGTCAAACATCCATAAAACGAGGAATAGTAAGATACCAGGCCTTATTTTCTGCTTTATTTTTGAGAGAATTTGGCGCACGCAAGTAAACCACTGGAGGCCAAGATTGGAACGAAACCCGATTTGATATAAACTCTCGTTATTATTTCATCCGCTGGCTTCGAAAGTTCCTTTCTAGATTACTTGTCTTCCGAGGTTGCAGGAGTTCTCTTATATCTTGAGTACTCTATAAGAAACAAGTTGTTTTAACAGAAGCCGCTCCTAGGATTTTAATTGTGAATGATATTCATCGTGGTTGATTCCGCTGCCTCCATATTATATTGTCAATCTGCACTAACGGCTGCTTGTAACTGCGATCGGTCGGCAGCAAGTTCCTGGGCGTACTTACGCAAGTTGGCAGGTCAGCTCCGCAGACCGGTATCCATGGGCACTCGCCTAAGGTCCCACGGCTTTAACTGTTAGCCTGAACACCCTCAGCTGCTCGAGTGGTGTTCGAGAGGGATGGCAGTCTGGACTTAATTGTCTTCAGTATTGATCAACACACAATCAAACCATTTTACTGGCGACTACGACCACATGTGGTCGATTTTGTTACTAACAGAGGTTGTTTCAGCTTTTTCGAGACTCAACTGGGGAAGGATTTGGTGAATGGAGGGCAGCATCTTTAATCGCTAACTTTTATACGATACGACATCTTCTGAATTCAAGGGTCATTAATGGCATCCCTGAAGAAAATTGGTCTGGTCGAAAGCCTCATACGCTCACAGCTCATCCCTCTGATCTCTCTGTGATTCAACGGGTTTTAAGAGTTACTCTATAGACGCGAGTGCCTAGCTTTTCTGTCCATTGTTCTGAAATATCACTAGATTAAAGACTGCCGAAGCTCTCTACTAACTTACGAGTTTCGTCCCTCTAACAGGACCAGGTATACAAATGGAGCCAAGAAACCTGACATGATGACTTGCGTTTTGTATTTCTGAATTCACTTTTCTGTCTCTACATCTAGCTGGGCCGGCATATTTTGTATTTTTGTATAGGAGCTAACCGTAACGCAATACAACCAATGTAGACAGGTTCAGTAATACAGGGACCGCCAAATAAATCAATGTGCGCGTGATTTGCATGTGCTCATCGAAAAATCCAGCCGACCACATAACTGAACAGACTTGGTGAAAGATGGAAGCATGGATGGACGTCGATGGTGGCATAAGTAAAATTCCTTCACTTACCGTTTATATGAATTTGCGTTCTAGTTCTGTCATTATGAACTTAAATCAGTCAAAATGCGCTCAGTGGCATGCCATTTTGCTACAATATTTCTTACGGGGTTTATAATAGACAGTCAAACTTGAGGGAATTTGCTTTTGATCCCAGTGTATGTATTAAACATTCCGACAAGGAGCGAGAGGTATCGATCAGCAAGTGCTTAGTCCGAAAGTCCGGTAGAAATGACATATATGGCCCTTAAACAGGACATGAGGACAGGAACCACCTGCAATACGGGTGGCTTTGAGCCAACTTCCAGTGAAAATAGGGTTAGGTTTAAGGTCATTGTTGAGACTAATTTAAGGATTACACTTGAGTCTAGGTTAGAAGTCCACGGCAAGGTAAGTCAGGATCAAGTCTAGGGATAAGGTAGGGGCTAGTTTTAACTGTAGATTTACTGTTTATGATAGGGTTGGGGTCAAGATGAAAGTAGCGGTTAAGTTGGGGCTAGGGCACGGGGATACTTTGCCCTTTCCGGAATTATGCACGGGTCCACCTTTATTACTTGGGGTGGGGGCGTGGCCATTCCCACATCCTGTTTAGGGACTTCGTAACTCAGTCCCACAAAGAGTCCGACAAATTCTTTCTTCTAAACGCATTTATAACGGCGAAGGCTATTGTGGAAATTTCAGAGAAAACTTCTGTAGGATAGATGTTATACACTACTTCATTGCCCCTTTTGAGGGCCTATCTAGAGTCACCGTCACTGTATTGTCAATGCGGTCGTCACCTTTCGAATTTTATATGTAGTTCGCGTTTGCCGTGAGTTGATGTTATTTTTCAGTATTAACCGATTTTAGTTGCGAAGCAAACCCTGATAGGGGGCTTATTTTCGTATAGCCTCGTTGTGGTATCGAGGATTGCGGTTTCGGTTATGCTCTGGTTTTGTGTTGTTTTCATACTGGGCCCTTAGTATTTAGAAGCTGGATAGAGTGCTCCTTCCTTCGCAGCACCTGGCCTACAGGTTGCAATATAAGGCTTCTTTCTCACCAGACATCTCGATGGCCTCGAGCGCCTTCCTACACACAGTGCTCCGCCAAAAATGCAGCCAAGTTTGTTTTTAATTTCATTTCTTTATTACCATGTTGCTGTATACTTCCTTATGTACTGTAAATAAGCATTTACAAAGACTGCCAGATCCTCACCGATCCGGCAAAATGTTTTTATAAAGACGAAGTTCGTGGATTCACCTCGTAGGCAGCGAAACTCACGAAGCGTTGACTGCAGTTTAAAAATATTATCTCGGTCAGGAAGTTTAGTTAGTTAAGGTTGCAATACCAGTTTTCACGAAACATTCGTATGGTGCTTCACACACGTTCGGATGAGCAGTCTTCCAGCCACCTGCTAGAACTACACCCCAGTAAACTGAATAGTCAAGCAATATGAAAGGACGAACAGAAAATTCTTTTAAATTCATTTTTAAACGATTACGTCCAGCCTAGAGTCTGTTTAAACAGGTGGCTGCACGCCCGTGCATTCCCACTATAATGAATTGGACGTGTCTAAACCCATGACAAAGCGTTGTCCGTCGTGGCTTGGAGGTTTCCGACTAACGAAAAACTCAATCCCTCCTATGACTGAGGGTCAGACTGCAATGGTTCCTTCTCAGTGCGTGGCATCCGAGCCGCTCTTATAGAAATCTGGTACACTGTGAGGACAAGATCGGATGTGGCATGAATAGAGGAATTGGTTAGCCTTGTAATCCACTGGCTTTGCGCCCACCTCCAGTAGACGTGACTTCATTTTGCCATCGGAGAGTGTAGTGAGTGCAGAAGATAAAGCTCAAATTCGCCTCATTAATGAAACCAATTTAAGCACCAGCCACCGATGGTATGTCCACTCTGCGACCTTATAAATTCAAGCATGTTTTAATGAAAAGGTGTGCAAAATATTCTTTCTTGTGTTTACTTGGTAGATAAATAAGCCTTACTCAAATTATATGCTTGAAGAAAAGGCCTATTTAAATTTAAAAAGTTTTTTAATTGCCAAAAAATGCTGCGCTCAGTCTGCCGTTTTGCCAGCCTTTAGGGCTTGCAGTCAACAAGCTGTATAGTTTTCATGTCAAGGAAATCATGCATTATTCCCTGCCAATAGAAATCCCCATATGAGGCTCTTAAAACCTTGCTGTGGATGTGGACTATGACGTATATATCTTGAGGAGCACTACTTAACGGTTGGAGATGGTGCACTTTAAATGAGCGGCAAGGGTAGGTTGTGTAGCCCCACCTGGCAACCGATAACCCCAGGCCCGTGTAATACGCGAATGGTGTAACAGGGGTTTTACGGGTGGGGTATAACCGCGCACGAGGAACGATGTGAATGCAGTAAAACCTAAAAATTTGGTAGATTTCCGTTAAACTTCTTCTCCTACGCTTATATATGACAACGAAGTTGGGCACGCTAAACAAAAAATAAACAAAAATAAACTGAACATAAATAAAATGCATTTCAATAAACGGCCGCTGAATCGTTTGCGGTAGGGCAGGAACAGCGGAAAGAATAACCCAGAGGACAGAAAAACGCTAAGTGTCAAATAATGCAGCCGTGATTATTTACGGCACTAAAACGTGGTGCATATGAGTGTTGGAGGAGCTATGCAAAAACACTTTAGTGAACACGAAGTAAGTCAAATAACGTAAGTAGGAAGGCATGTATTTGTCTGCATTATACGGCAAATTAAAAATGTAAATAAAAAAGTTTAGAAAATTAAAAGTATGGCATTACCGATAATGTCATTCTACCTATATCATGCGCCGCCGGGCGGCTGCTGGTTGGGCTCGAGAGAGAGCCCGTAAGGCACAAATGGACGAGTGAGTTCAGTATGAACGATCGGCGAGCGCCCCTCCACCAATTAAAAATATGTATTTATGCAATAGTGAAAATGCAGTAATGAACAGAGTAGGTGGTTATGCCTTTTCCTCTTTTGACATAGAGACCAACCGCTCCAGGACTCACGAAATAGGATAGCTCCAGGTTGATTTCCTGACGAAAGCAGAAGAAATAACCGAAGTTATAAGCTCAGAGAACGTAGTAGAATACTGCCAAGCAAGGGTACTCGTACCTAGTATAGTAAAATGTTGATTTGGACGTAACATTCGTCAGAATCTTTTGAGGCTACATATTGACGTATATGTATTTCGATGCGGTCAATGCCTAA